TTTTTAGAGCGCTGCCTACGAACCAATCTACTTGATGCTATGGATTCTGGATTCAAACAAAAAACAATATATATATATATATATATATATATATATGATTCAATAAATATTGGAATCGGGAATTGCGAATCAGCAAATGTGGAATTAAGATTCAATAAATATTTGAATCGAAATTTGAAAAAGTTAGAATACAGATTCCATAAATGTTGGGATCGAGATTCGGAAAAAGTTGGAATCGAGATTCATGACTTTTAAGGAAATGAGTTCCGTGAAGATTCCTTATTGGAATCACCGAATTGGCATTTCGAAGTGGAATCACGACCTGGGCAGAGAGATTCTGGTAACTTTGTTATGGCCCTACTAGGACTCAAGATTTTCGACCACTGATGCAGTTCTTCTTGAGACTCAAAAAATGTCATCACTTAACCCTACCCTTCGAAACTTGAACCCATTTTGAACACATGTTACATATTTGCAGGCCTCTTCTAATCAGTTTCCAGCATATCAAAAGGGAGGCCAACTCTTCCACGTAAAGTCATAGACTCAAGTAGCAGCAATCAACCTTTGGAGAGTTTGCCACATGTAGTTGTCTATACCCTTTCTCACGCTCTATCCTACACTATCTACTCTCCCTCTCCCACTCTCTTTACCTTCTACCCTCTATTCCCTGTATTTTTATATCATTCACTATCTACTCTTCCTCTCCCACTCTCTTTACCCTTTTATCCTCTACCCTCTATCTCCTCTTTCATATCTCAATGTGGGCAGTGCCCATATTTGTACCTCCCCTTTGTTTCCCACTCTACATTTCTGAACTGGTACTCCCAAAATTTCTGTAAATTCACGAACTCTAGATTGGCTTTTGTATGTGTACGAGCACTGAAAACTATCGAGTCACCTTTTTGATTGGCCTAAATGTCTGGCTGTTTTCGTAACTACTTATAGATAGTTATAGATATTAATACAAGTCAACCATTCTTATAAAAAGGCAAAGAAGAATAGTGGTGTGACTCTCATTCTTAAAATATAACAGCTGATCTAAGAATGAAGGCTGATGATATTCAAGAATATCTCACCCAAAGATCTTCTAAGAAGTGGCAACTTTATCTCTTCTAAAGCCTAACCCTAATGCCACATAAAGGCCTTAACCCATTCTCCCAAGACACCCAACATTTCATGTGGGGGGGGAGAGAGAGAGAGAGAGGGAGGGGAGAGAGAGAGGAGGGGAGGGGGGGGCGTAGCACGCATGAGAGAGAAAAAGATTAGAGTTGGGAAGTGTCTGTGTGAGAGAGTGAGGAGGAGGCTAGGGTTGGAGGTATAATAGAGAGAAAAAGCTAGGGCCGGGAAATGGAAGAGAGAGAGAGAGAAGCCCTTAGGTATTGGGCTGTGATCTAGCCATAGTGAGATCTGTAATTTCTTATCTTCTTCCTTGTCCCAGCCCATTCCATGCCCTAGAGGGGGCTGAAGTTCGCTGAATTTATGGTGTGTCATTGATCTCTCATCAAGTGAAGTGCTTGAAGCCCTAAGAGGTAATCCTAGTTAACACCAATGTTTTATGTTCTTTTGTGCAACAACTTACATAGCCCTTCTAATCTTTTCTAATCTTCAAGATGCCTACTTTTTTCTCACCATTTTTGTGCTTAATTGTGAGTTGTAAGTTGAAACATTGCTCAAATTGTTGTTGTAATTTGTGTTTCAGTTAGGTCAAGAACTTGGCAGTAAACTTGACAAGGGTGTTTTCTTTTTCGTTTTCATGATGGTTCTTCTTTTATTATATGATGGTTCAATGTAAACTGCAGCTCGTGCAAATGTGGGGATGTAGGTTTGTTTTTTTTTTTTTTTTCTTTTTTCTTTTGGTAGAGATTAGGGATGTAGGTATTTTTAATAATTATCTGAGGAAAATTTTCACATTCATACTTGGATCATCCCACATCGCTAATCACAAAAAATATTTTCTAGATTTGATTTGAGAAGCTACAGGACTTTGATATGTTCTTGCAAGGAGTAAAGGAAGAAACAACTGAACTCATTCCACTTTTATCTAGTGTAAATGACAGTAAACCTAACAGTATGAGGGATCAAAAAACAGAAACCTAACAGGACTTTGATATGTTCTAGCAAGGAGAAAAGGAAGAAACAACTGAACGCATTCCCCTCTTATCTAGTGCAAATGATAGTAAACCTAACAGTATGGGAGATCAAAGAACAGAAACCTAACGGTATGAGAACTCAAAGAACAGAGATAAACCTACTGTGTGAGAGATCAAAGAACAGAGGTATTCTGATGAAAACCTAGAAGAGTCCCCTACTTTAATGGGAAACACAGGAAACTCGAACTTAGAAGAGGAGTAAAGTACAAGTGAAAATCCAATGAAATTTAGAAACCCCCTCGAAAGAATGAGAGTTTTCTTGTGGCATTTGGAAAACCATACAAAGGATATCGAGAATCATATGGAAGCTAACAGAGGCCCCTTGATGAAACCCTAAACAGAAGCACCAACACTCTAGACTCCACTGACTAATAGGACAATTAAACTGCCCTGTCAGACGTGTCCACAAACTATTGTAACATCCATCGTTTAAAAAAAGGGGCCACCCAGCGCCTAAGTACCCAAATGGCCCTAGGCTGCATGCCAAGGCCTGGGCGGCCCTCCTTGGGCGCTTGCCCAGGCAGCCTAGCCCTGCCCTTAGCACCCAGTCCTAGATTGGCGCTCAGGGCCCAGGCCCTTTTTTATGGAAATAAATAAGTCCTTAAGGGTAGTTTGGGTCATTTTGACCCACAGAGTATACCAAAAGGGCCAATTGGCGGTATTCTAAACCCTGAAAAAAAAAACTCTAAACCCTGCAAACACCCTAAATCAATTTATTTTGCAAATTTTTGTGAATCAAAATGGAAGAAGAATCCAAAAGCTTACCCTTATTTATTGGAATTCATTTTTTTAGGGTGCTAATTAGAAGACTTTGCATGGAGTTCTAACTATATCGTCATCAATAACATCGGAGAACATAGATCATGGGTGTAACTGTGTATCATAATTGTATGTCACGACGAAGTATCAATTGGAGAGTTGAAGACTGCTACACTATGGACTTTATGTTTTTTCACTAACTTATCCTTTACATTTATACATTCACTTAATACATACATATTTGCATGGACGAAGTTAGTTGTAATACTGATAAATGCAAAACAATACAAAATTAACACACATAGTTGCATATATGTGCGTTTGGACAGCACACATACGCAACTTCTAAAATGTTTCACCTCAAGGCGCTTGAAGTTCTGGGTGCCAGGCTGGCCGCCTAGAGTTTTTTGAAATATTGTTAACAACCCAACCTGGGGAAAGACGTATGATCAGCATGTTCAAGCTGTGTCAGACTATAGTCGTTGGAAAAGCCTGACATTCGGAATCGATTTAGGAATAAGAAACGTGGAATCGTGGGCGGCCAAAAGATTCCTATTGTTGGCATCATGATTTGTACTGCAACTGAGATTCCAATTTTCTGAGAAATGACGATGCCAACAATAGGAATCTTTTGGCGTCCCGCGATTCCGCCATTTTGGAAATTCCTACCTTTTTGGAAACACAAACTAACCCGATTGGAATCAAGATTCATAACTATTTTGGAATTGAGCTTCAACCCAATTCGAATTGGCATTCCTATATTTATGGAATTACGCACCCAACCAGTTGGAACGGCGAAGAAAACAACACGAAACGAGTTTCATAAAGCATTCTAATCGTACTTAAGCAAGAGACCCTTGGTACTGGAATCGATGTATTAATCATGCTAGCCAGGGTTCCCCTAGTATAGGAATCAAGATAATGGTTCTAAGGACACAAACAACAGTTCCCTTGGTATTGAAATTGATGTATTGAATGGCCTTACTGGGGTTCTGGATGTAAAAATACTTGGTTTATTAATAATAAAATTTAGAAGGAAAAAAAAATGTATTTTGGGTTATCAGAATTTAGGAATGATGTCAATTACAGTTCGTAGACACCCATAGAATTCTTAAAAACCATCAAATGGCAAATAATAATAAATTTGTAGCAGGATGTTTCACTAGTCCACTAGGAAAGTAGTGTTTGTATTTACAAAACATACAAATATTATCTTATTTATACTTGAAAATAAGATTTTTTTTTCCATTGTGTCTTTGTGATGCTCCATGTAGTAATCTGTGGGAATCAAATCTAATCCCCAATACCCTCTCCGAATTCTCTTTAAGAAGTCGTCGGCAAGTTCTAGCACCAATAGAAAGGAAAGTTGTCTAAGAATCCCTAAATTTATTGAACAATATACTACTAAGTTGACGTGACATCTATTTTGTACGTGATTCCAAAAAGATGGGATCAAGATTCTATAAAGGTAAAAAAAGAGATTCCATATTGATCGAATCACGGTTTCATGCAACTATGAAGTCCGGTACTTGATGTTGTGGAATCTGGATTGCAAAAAAAGCGCATCGAGATTCAATGAATGCAGAATTGAGATTCCTAAATTCATGGAAACGGGTTCCTATGGAGAATCCTTGATGGCATCGCCGAATCGAGATTCTAAAGCAACACTGCCACTTGGCATGAGAGATCCTAGTAACTATGTTCAGACCATATGCATCAAAGTATCAATATGAGCCGATATAACACATGAGAAGAGAGGATTGTCTATGCAACAGTAATACTTGCAAAACAGGTTCAACAACATACTAGAAGCACCTTTGGCAATCAATCAAAATGATAAGATAATATTGGTAATATTCTTACGAACAATACATCTTTCAGAGCTTGCTTTTTTATATTAGATATAATAGCTTTAGACACAACAATAACCTCAATGTAGGAGACAGCAGGAAAATAGAGGGCTACTATTGACGTTTTCAAGAAATAATAAATGAAAATAGTGCGTGAATCAAGATAATTGCTGCAGTGTATGCAAAGAATATATACACAGTTTTCAAAGAATGATATAGATGAGTATACAGGAAAACTTACAGATCCATCCATAGAGCTAGCCAACAAGTAATGGTCTTCAGATTGAAGCAATGACAAGCTACACATGAAGGGAGAAAAATTTTAATCAACTTAGGCATATGCAGAATTCCAGCAAACCTGTATGCAACATTTCCAAAAGAAAATTACAATACCTGCAAATTGAAGATGGCATGAATATAGCACCAGAGGGATTCAGATTTCCCTTAAACTGCAATAAGAAACAATCAGGTATGTGTTTGAGGACCACTCTAAACACATTGTGCAAGACAATTGAAGAAACTTTTTGATACAATAGCTTTGAAATGGAGTTACTTAAAAAGTAAATTGGTTTTCAACCTGAAAGTACTTCTTGGAAAATCGATTGCTGTCTCCAATAGAAGCCAGATTGGCTTTAGTAGAAGGATAAGGAATAGTCTGCTTTGGAAGTACCACAGATTGCCCAGAAAGTCCTGTGTGTTTATAGCGAGCATCGATTGCGGCAATTGCTCCATTTCTAAAACCACAAAATATAATATTACCCTGTAATAAAAAAAATTCAATTAATTTCTGCCCCACATAATATTGCAAAATCATGCTAGTAGCAATTCATTGTCAAAATGCTGAATCAAGTGGACCTTGTGGCCCCATATGTTCCATAATTTTTTCTATTTTCCAAGTGTGCACATCGTAAGAGTCCTTGAACCATTCAAACCTATGACAGTTATTTTATCATTATCTTCATAACTCTGGTAAGCAAATTTCCCAATAAATCACCAATTGATTAATTAAATTCTCTTGAAGATATATGTTCCAACATAAAGCAAGCATTGAAATTGTATCAGGAAGGTCCCTTTCAGACCTAACAACATGAATTAATTTTCTGGCAAGTCAGTAAACAGGTAGAATTACAAAACATTTAGAGGTGGTATAAAATGGCAGACCATGTGATAACCAGACACAGGGCATTTAACATCAGAATTATTGCACAAAGATTCCATTTTATAATACAGAAAGAAATCGTCCACACAATACACTGCCAATGTCCAATTCTCCCATCTAGCTTCTCTATGAGGTTGCAGACTATCAATGGTTCATGTTTACTACTGCATGTGGATTGGTATGCATGGTCAACTGTCAATAAGCAGAAACCAACGTCATCTCCGTATCACCTATGTGTTTATCTCATCTAGTGTTATCATAATATCAAGAAGAATCTAGGCATAAATATTATACCAATACCAAGGATGATAGTGAAACAATTAAAGTGAAGGATTAAAAAATTCCATCATTTGGATCTTAGAAACAAAAATGTTGGGTCCAGGTGGCCCTATATGGTGAAACATAAAGCCAGTATATCTCTTGAATGAATCCAACCAGAACTATTAAAACAAAGCTCTATTGTGAAGCAGCTATCCAGCTAAATAAGACTCTTTGCTTCTTTTAGATCTTGGTATGAGAAAATAAAGCAGTAGCATTGTACACTTCGTACATCATGCAATCTAAAGAAAGAAACATATCAACAGGGGCTATTGCTTATTGGAAAAAAGGTCGTATATAGAGAAATTAAAGCTAGGTAGATAAAAATGTCTTTTTAAGGGTCTCTCTAACAAAAGGGATTCTTAACCTTAGTTTTCTACAAAATTAAGGAACAGAAATTAACATAAAAGAAAACTATGAATCCTAGAGGTATTTAGCAGATAGCATAATGCTTTTTTAGCAAACAACCAGGCTAATAAAAAGGAAAAGCATGCAGCTCAAGAGGGCAGAGAAAGAAAAGAAAACAAAGACGATGTAGCAACAAAGCCATCTCTACAGAAGTCAATGGAAAACGAAGAAATACTTGTTGCCGGAATTCAAGGGTGAAATTGGCATAGGGAGGATTTTCCAATATGGCCTAGGACTCGAAACTTGAATTAAAAATGAAGTCAGTGGCTAGAAATTCAAGGTGAAATACAGAGCATTGGTGCGCAATCCCTTAAAGAAGCACTGGTGTTGTTCAATATAGATCATATGCATTCTTTTAGAGGATACGTGGACCAAATAATGGAGGATAACTGTTTCTGACAAAACCACCTTGAAGAAGAGGAAAAGCAAGTAGTGTTCTGAGTCGCCAGATTACTCCAGGACCCAACATTTTAGTAATTCCATAAGTTTTATAGGAAGAACTCAAAATTTTGACAGCAGGCACAATGCTCATAATAAGGAACTTTCACCCGATTAATTTATTGAGTTTCCTGGGCTTTAATGCTGTAAAAATTTCTTTGTTTTCTGGTATGCCATTTTTTCATTCTTAGTAATTTAAAGGTTAGCAATTTAGCATCTAGAAGACAAACAATACTCTAGACGATTGTCAGCTTAATGTACCAGAATTCTTTTTTGTGATTATCCCTAAACTGCCAGTGAATATTACCACTTGATAAAACAACGAAGAGAATCAGCAGCTCACACCAAATAATAATACAAATCTCTTGTATCAATATAAAGTCAAAGTGAAAATAAACATTACCGATTGATCAAACTGCTGAGAGAGAATGTCACTTTTACTACGACATACCCAGGAAAGTACACCAGTTTCCAAACTTACTAAACCAGCTCCTTTGTTCGTACCTTAGAAGTATACAAAGCATCATTAAAAGGAAAGTAAAATGACCACAAAACAAATTCTTGAGTATGATAAGAAAAGGTCTAATAAGCATGCAGAGGCAAACATAACAAGAAATAAAGCAAGAGAACTGCATTTTCAGAAGAAATACCAAGAAGTAATAAAAAAAGACCATGTTGCTCACATTTTAGCCATTAATTAGGATGCCATTGATAACATGAAAGTACTTATAAAATAAGCTTAAGCAAGTCCCTCCAATGGGGCCCATATTTACTCAGCTGAGTAGGTCACAAAGTGAAGAAAGAAACTATCAACTATGAAGAAGTTCTCTGAGTATGATGACTAGGTAAATCCTGGATAAAAATTAGAAATGGAAAAAATTTATATAAGGTTGTAACCTTAAACTGTAGAAGTAAGGTGCACCTAAAACATCCATCATAAAAGGTTACTTTAAAGTTGGAAAACTCTCTAATTGAGCATATTGACATCGAGATGTATGAACATGAAGAAAAAGGATTTCTGAGTCCCAAAAGTAGTGCATATTGCAGCATAATATCTAGACGATCCATTTTCAAGATTTTCATGTGTTTATAGAAATCTAAACACACGAAAATTTTTGACCATCCTCTTTTGGAATCTAAAATTTTATAATTAGAAAAGAAAATGGATTCTCAGGACATCCTAAGAATTTATGACACCAAATTATATCTTATGATAAAATTTGGTGGTGCACCTTGCTTTCATTGTTAAGGTTGCAACCCTATGCAAACCACACCCTTTAGAAATTTCTAGATATACCATGCAAAATTAAATAAAACACTGAATGTATCAAAAGAAGAATTTCTTTTTCTTTATTCGGGTGTGTGAGGTGTTGGCTGGGCTCATGTTTCAAATAATATTTGAAATGATGAACCTAACTACATGAAGGTAATTGATGCGTACATGTCAACAGTGGAGAAGAAAACTCTGTTGCAGATATGACCCAGTGTGACTAGTTCCCTTAATATAGCTTCCTGAAATAAAACCTTTATAAGTTGAAAATGTGTCATATACTTGAACAGCTCCATGGTGAGATTATCCCTCACTAAGGTGTTTGTTGAATGTCAATGGAATGTTTTAACCACCTACTCAAGGAGAGCACAAGGCATGCAATACATAATGCTTAGCAACACAGTGTTGTCCTTGGGAAAATTTCAGATCTTCCACAGAAACCACCAACTCAAGAAGAGCACCATGCATGAAATGCTTAATGCTTGGGAAACACAAGGTTGTTCCCATAGAAAGGCAAATGCATAGGATGGCCTGGTTTGCTCATGAACCAAACGTGACCCAATTGGAAAAACACCCTACTTAACATCTGAAATGGAACATATTTACTGACTAATGAGCCCGACTACCCAGACAAATGCAGAGCATATAAAGTACACCCGTATCACAAGCTAGTGAACAGTGAAAGAAAATCTACCCACCTAGGCACCTGGGCAGCTAAAGGGGCAATCTGAGGTGAATGGGGCCCAGGCAGGGCCTATACAGAAATGTACTAGGGCACCGCCCTAGGTAGATGGCCTGTGAGACCCCATGATGCACTTGGCGAAGGGAGAGAGAAATCCCTCGGCCAAGGGAAAAAACCAAAAATCCCCTAAAAGGTTGGGCTCAGTAGCACGTTTGCCACCTCAGATTGGAACCAGAGCAAGTGGTCCAAAATACAAAGAGGAAAAAGGCAAGTAACATTTTTAGACACCCTGATTTGGGAATGGCATTCGCTAATGCCTCCATCTTTTTTAACAACTCGTGAAATTTTTGCGCCTTGCAGATAGTGAGATAGAAATGGCAATGGAGTGTATGTACAAGGCAATGGATGTTTCAAAAGAAGAGATCAAGAGAAGCATGAAAAGCGAAAAAAAGTAGATATGCCCCTGTTTTGAAATTTGTAGAAGACAAATGGAATTCACAGCTGGAGATGCCACTCCACCTAGCAAGGTACTATCTCAACCTTGCTTAATAATATATTGATCCAAAGTTAAAGTATAAAGGTTGTTTCATGCAAGCAATTGACAAGTGCAATGTGAAACTCAATCCTAATGTGGACGTCCAAGACTAAGTACCAATGGAGCTTGACTCAATGTGGACGCTTGGGATGGAGATAGCGATAAGGCTAAGAACAAATATCAATCCAGGCAAGTTCAAAATTATTTTCTGATAGTAAATTCGTATTTAAGACATTTGCAATTTCACCGTTTACCCTACTCTCCTAACATGTATTATATTTTTCTAAGTAACTTGTATTATAATTTTTTAAGTTATAAAAATATAATATTACAGTCCTGCATTATGCAACACATGCATACAAAGAACAGAAGAGTCTTGAGCAGCAGAGATTGAATAACCTTGTTATTTGTTAAGTATAATCAGACTTTGAAGGTGAGCTATTTGGAGCACAATGGAATCGAACCCATCATTATGAAAGATATGGGTGAAGCGCGAGTGGTTGATCGATTAGGATGTTGGGGATGAACAAGTATGTGTAGGAGAGATCTTGACATGGAGCCAAGTTCATGAGGCAGCTGGAAGTGCAACGAACCCTGTTTGGGTTACTAGATCCCATTCTCAAAGGAAGGCGAAGGGGAAGAGGTTGATGAGAGTGAGAGGAGGAGGAGGATGCAGACTCAAAGGTGACTAGCAAGAAGAGGAATATGAGGAGGGAGATGACTCTGATAATAGCGACGACTAGGAATCATCAGCAGATTCAAGTGCATATGATCTTGGGCGTAGAGATGGATGTGTTATTGCTATAGTGATGAAGAAATTTGACCTCAAATTTGAGCTCTTCATAGAGATGGATGTGTTATTGCTAGTGATGAAGAAATTACAACACTAGCGATGAAGAAATTTGATCTCAAATTTGAGTTATTCATTTTTGTAGTCTTGTTTTGAGCTTCGTTGCATTATGTCCTTTGAGTTTTGACATTTTTGAGTTGCGTTGTGACTTGTAATGTCATAATGACATGTAATGGTTATTGATACCTTTTATTGTTGCGAAAAGTAAGGATGTTGGGCAAATTTCAATCATTTAAAGATTTATTCATTGAATTTCAAGTTTCAAAGTCATGTATGCCTAAAAGTTTAAAATGTACAAGAAAATAAAGACACAGAAATCTGTGAAATAATTTTTTTAATAAAAAATATTTTATACACTCATTCAACGGGATTTAGTAACCATCAAAAAAACCCCAATATCATCTTCTAGGGCCTAGAGCTCCCCTCCTTTATGTGCCAGCGGTCAAGGCATTTGGGCACCCACCTAGGCGGCTGAATCCACCTTCTTCAACATTACGAGTGAATTAACAGGGTTCAAAAACATATCAACCCTAGCCCAATTCCTTACATAACCAAAATCCCCGTGTTCGTGCAAATATTATGAATAATATTTTCTTAAACAAAGACCTTATGTGTTAGATTCACGAACAATCAGAGCTAGGAAGCCACCTATAAGAACTGAACTTTATGAAATATGTAATTGGTAGAGCTTCTTCAACATTTTCTAAGTTGGGAATCTGCTTACTCAAGTACAGATACAAGAGGGTACAGACTCCCAAAAATTATCTTCAATGCACTAAACTTAATGGTTTTATGCGCTCTAAAGACATTTTGTGATTCATTATCGATATAGTAGTCTTGGAACTATTAAAGGGCATATCTTAAAACTGTTCAACTGTTTTTCTGTAAATTTTCCTGATAATTCAAACTGCTTTTCTTTCTTTATTCTGTAAAACATGTCACATCACACACTAGAAGACGCATCACATCATAATCCAACTCAGCCACCTAGCACCACACTGGGCACGTTTGTTTCTCGTGAAAATATTCCCCGGGAAGTATTTTCATGTAAAAGAATTCCCTCGTGTAATTAAGTGTGGTAATATTTTCAAACCAACTAGTCCCAGTGCATCTATTCACACCAATTGGCAGATAACTGGTGTAAAAATATTCCCAAACCTAATCACATGAAAGAATTTTTCCAGGTGAAAATATTTATTTCAAGAAGTATTTTCACACAAACCAAAAATGCCACAATCTCTATTCTTTCTTCAAACCAATTCCACCAGCCATAGTGACCTTCCACACTAGCTCACTCAAATGGACGGAGTCCTTAAGTGGATAAGCCTCTAGGGTCTCTCCCTTATGTTCTCCGCATTTCTCAAGAATAAAAAATGCCCTTCTCGTAAATAAACCAACAAATGAGGCAACCTCAAGTTCTAAGATACAATTGCATAAGTTAACGATCTAATCACCAAATCTAGCAACATAAGCTAGTGGACATTCCCTTTAAGAAGACTTTTGAGTTGAGAAATTTCAGCCTCACCTTCTTAAGAAACTGATGCAAATAAAAACTGAAGTTGTTAAATTTTTTTGTTTTATATTTCCTTTTATTTTAGTAAAGGTGTTATTTGAGATTGTAATTTTCGTAAGAGTTACTTTTGTCTTCTTTAATTGTAAAGATTTAAAGGGTAGAATGGTAAATTATTTATAGGAGTTGGTTAGGATAGATTTTCATGAGGATATAGTTTCTATTTTTGTGGGAGTTGAGGTTGTTATCTCTAAATGGGTTGACAAGGAACATGAAAGGAAAAATAAGAAAGAGATGAGGAAGGGAAGTTAGAGAGAGAAGAAACATGAAAAGTAGGTAGAGAGATAAGGAGAAAATCTTAGGAGACGAGAATTGGACTTGAGTAAGGAGTTGATCTCGTGAAAAAGATATAAAGAACCAGCGATGGTATATTCTTTCACCTTTTATTATTATTTTTATTTTAATTATTTCTCCCAGTATCAGTTGGCATCAAAGCCTTGAGATCAAAGATCCATTCACTAAATGGAGTGTTTGGATCGATTTGAGCAATTGGATCAATAATTCGATAGACACATGGAAGACCTCTACAGATCAATAAAACAGTATCTACAAGATCGACTTAGTATATTGCAACAAGACGAACAAGAATATGAAGAG